ATTTGAATGGGGCAAGATTTTCAAAATAAAGCTAAATATTTAAAATGTATGAAGTTTAGAAAACTTCTGAATAGTACTATGAATGTCCTTGAAGAGCTGAACATTTTGATAGCTGAAATAGCTGAAAGTTTGCTGAATTAGAATTTTCCCATTCATTTGATTGGGGAAAAAATTTTCAGAATAAAGGTGAATATGTCAAATAGTATAAAATTTACCAAAAAGTTGTATACATCCGTGCATGTCCTGAAAAAGCCGAACATTTTGATACCTGAATTGCGTTTCTAGCTGAAAGTATGCTGAAGTAGTTAAGTGCCAAAAAATGTACGGAAGAATAATATTAATAAAGAAATAATTGGAAGACATAGTATGGATGCTGATTCAGCATCCATACAATAAATATTTGGAAAACATAGTATGGATGCTTTATCAGCATCCATACTGTTTTCCAATTATTTATTTCTCTATTATTATTGTATGGATGCTGATTCAGCATCCATACAATAATAAAGAAATAACTGGAAAACATAGTTTGGACTCCGAGCATCCATACAATAATAAAGAAATAACTGGAAAACATAGTTTGCATGCTGAGCATCCATACTATGTTTTCCAATTATTTCTTTATTGTATGGATGCTGACTCAGCATCCATACATTAATAATAAAGATTTGGAAAACAACGCAACACACAGCCATTAAGAAGAAGTGTCATTTCTTCATCTTTATGTAGAGCAACAATTCGTTTTTTCAGATCCTCAGAGAGTTCATTGCCATGAGGTGCCATGTTGAACGTCCAGCGACTAGTATGAGAGAGTGAGAGTGATAACACTAAATTTAACACACCTGCTCCTCCTTCACACCTGAGACCTTGTACCACTAACGAGTCACATGACACCAGGGAGGGAAGACGGCTACTTGGGCCCCATTTGGCCATTATCACTTAGGGGTGTACTCACTTTTGTTGCCAGCAGTTTAGACATTAATGGCTGTGTGTTGCGTTATTTTGAGGGGACAGCACATTTACACTGTTATACAAGCTGTAGCCTCACTACTTTACATTGTAGCCAAGTGTCATTTCTTCAGTGTTGTCACATGAAAAGATATACTTAAATATCTACAAAATGTGAGGGGGTGTACTCACTTCTGTGATATACTGTATATGGATGTGCTAAAAAAGGACATGAAGTTAACTGGGGTGAGAGTAGAGGATGCCGAGGATAGAGTTAGATGGAAACAGATGATTCGCTGTGGCGACTCCTAACGGGAACAGCCGGAAGAAGGAGAAGATTTATTCCCACAGGTGACTTTTTGAAAGGAACAAAGAAAAAGAAAAGTAATCTTCCCAAGGCATGACTCAGCCATAGCTTCCAGAAATAGTCTTTTATATCAGTATCCATCACTCACATGGCGCTTCGTGAGTTAGTAGTCATGATTGCTTCCCTCTGTCACAGCTCCTCAGCAGGGCACAGATTCATTTTGGACCATTTTAAATTCTTGCCATTTTGAGGGAGAGTTAAAATTAGCTCACTGGCACCCGGCGGCTCTTCATTCACGCAGGGGAGTGACGATGACACGGAGGATTTGTCACAGACCTCGGGGATAAAGACATTATACAAACCCGATTCAAACACCATGTAAGCATTGTGTGAAGTGATTGCAGTGGATGTCTCACAATACTCACAGCAGCAGCAAGGTTTGTAAGATACATTTCTCTTGAGCTCTGCAGCCTGGACAGTGACAACACATGATGGTACCTGGTCACCCACCTGCTCTGATGACCCAGGTGTCTCAGGCAGGGAAAAGCCCAGGGATGGAAATGTTCATCATCTGTGACTCAGTGGTGGAAAGTAACTAAGTGCATTTACTCAAAACCTGTAAGTGTTAGATTCTACCCAAATTCTTTTATTAAAAGCATGAGAAGTGAAGACAGGAGGGGACTGGTTAAAATCAACAGGAAGTTTACTCAAAGTCTGGGCACAGTGAAGTCCATACAGCGCTGGGATCAGAGCGACAGAGCTCCCTCAGAAGATCCATCCTCTGAACCATGAGTTATGTTTTTTTACAATGCATTTCTCTGGCTGGGGTGGGCCCGCCCCGCCCTAAACAAAAGGTACAACAATTCACATTTCGTAATCCTATTGGCCATTTGGAGTGAGTGGGTCAACCCCTGCCTGCGCCTGATTGCTGGATTGTGATCTAAACCAGGTGTGTGGTAGTGTGCGTCTCCAGCACCTTAACCTTGATCAAGGTGCACTGATCAATGGGTGGTCCGGGTTGCAGGCCCCCCTGTGTGTAAGACACCCCATGACAAAGCAGAACTTGGAATATGCTAAGTGGGTCTAGGTGGGGGTGCGAAACAAGCCAACTTGTCTTTGTTAGAACAGGCTGTCTGATTACCTGGAGATAGACATCCCGTCTCTACAGAAGTTACAGCCTACAGTTCCAAAGTTTCACTCAGCACAGTACTGTTACAGCTAGCCGTCAGGACCATGAACTGAGGACCCAGTAAGTGCAGAACTCGGACACAGACTTCAGAGAAAAACAAGGATTTTAATCAGGGAGGGTAAAGGCTGAAAACCATTATAAAGCCTCATCCGGTTCTTTCAAACCAGGAACTCAGAGGGACGACTCAGACCACTTGAGTATATAAAAAATATATCCGTGCTGGTTTATTCAAAAAGTCACAGGCAAGAATTCACACTTCCAGTCCAGAGATCTTCCAACCCCCAGCCTGCCAAAAGCAGCCCGGAAACAGCAAGACCCCGAACCACGCATTGCTATACAATATTAATCATTTCTGGGCTGTCGAACCGTGACGTCACCTGATATACCAGCCTGGTAGCTGAGCAGAGCAGCAGACAAAACATGAAGAAAATAATGTGTGTGGCTGTTGTTTTCGTGGTGTGTATCTAAAACAATTTGACATAACATTACACATTAAGACAAATATTATGGTTACTTTTACAGTCATAATAACATTTGTCCCTGACTTCAGCCCTTCTCTGCCTTAACTTTTTCCTGCTTTCATTACGGATGAGGTAGGCAGATAGCGTTAAGGGCCTAGGGACCCAGGCAGGATAGTGACCATGCCCTGGCCGGGGTTCGAACCACTGACCTTCCATACCAATGTCAGTGGTGTTACCCACCGAGCTATCTCGCTGCGTGCGTGCGCGTGTGTGTGTCTGTCTCCTTGCACTAGAACCCCATGTTACGGCTAGCCACCAAGAGCATGAACGGAGGACCCAGTAAGTGCAGATCTCGGACACAGACTCCAGAGAAAGACAAGGATTCTAATCAGGGAGGGTAACAGAAAGTGTAAGGAGTAGTGGAGACGTTACGGGCGACTGGGAGCTGAGTCCACTGGACCACTCGGTGAGCAACCCGGGTCCGGCGAGCAGAAGCAGCCACTAAATTGAGAACAGAGGAGGATGAGCAGACTAAGCAGATCAATACTGACTGTGTGGGAAATAATGATGGGAACCTGGATATGAAGCACGATGCTGTGCAGGGAGGCAGGAGGTGGTGAGATGACTGCTGGCCGGTGCCTGGAACCGCTGATGGGGGAAGCTGTGGCTCCGCGCCACTTAAAAAGGAGGCCCCCCCCACC